TTGTTTTGATCAATTGAAAGCAGAGAGTCTGGATCGTATGCGAGTGATTTAGGAATCACTAAAATGAGCACAATAATAAATGCATTACACACACAAAGGGGAACAATATGCATATTATTGCTGATAAACTTGACTTGATCAGATACATGGAAACCTAACAGGCCCTTTCACATCTGTTGTGATGGTTTCTGTGGGTTTATATGTTCTTCAGTATCGTTATTGTCAGCTTTATGCCTGTCTGAACCTGATTTATGAAACATTATGGAAATAAGAAATGTCCAATACTCTTCTGGGTTAAGAGAAGCCCAGATGATACACAGCGTGACATCTGCTGGAGAAACCTGATTGTTTGGTGTAGTGCAGTATAGTCACAACTCTGAACGCACCGGCAGTGAGGTGGGATGAAACAATTATTTCTTGTAGCTGTGTATCCTGTCTGACTTAAAATTGATCCGAAACTAAAAACAAATCTCGATAAGTAAGCAGAACAGAACAGGTTTTTGCCGTACATCTAAATCAATGGCCTTCACCTGATTTCTCTCTGCACTTAAAGTGAGTCACTAGTGGTTGCTGCACTGGTAGAAGCAGTAGAGAGAGAGAGACGATATTAACCTTCCGAAATTGGGGTCAAACCGAGCCAGTGCTTACGATCTTAACATCAAACACACAATAGTGACCCTATATACTGTAATAGTTCTGATTCTTTCTGTTCTGACCCAGATATGCCATACATTAACCTATAACGTCTTGTTGACAACCACATCATTGTCAAAAGTACGACGATGTGATAGAAATGAAGGAGCAGAGAGAAAAATAAGCTACACTCCTACACGGCTGGATAAATTCTGCTGGATCACAATGCAGATATATTTTGTGTGGTATGTTGTCAGCTTGTGTCAAAGGCGGACAAGAAAAACTTGTTTCAACTCACTGAACTGTCTCCAGAGGCTCGCGGCAAGCAACGCACACAGATTTTTGTTGTCTGGCATAATGACAGGCGATAATAAACAGCGTATATTGAAGACATTAAACATTAAAGAGGAAATCTAACAAAACGTCGACCTTTTTTCTCAGGATATCCCAGTATTCCCAGGATAAAGCTACTGTGAGGCAGATCCAGTAGATATTTACCAGTGAGGCAGGCTTGAGGTCTTTGAAGATGGGGTTCTCTCGGACTGACAGGTGGAGCTGGTAGCCGCTCAGGATGAGCCGGTGGTTGATGGAGTCCCCCACCAGGTGGATGCTGGCTCCCATGACGAACGTGATGATGCAGAGGTAGACGGCTGAGCGAGGCAGCGCCCTGGGACTGCGCTCCATCAGCTGAATGGAGCAGCAGCAACACACATTCTGTATTATACCAACTGTATCTAGTTGACATTATCTTTGTTTTATTATTTTGGTGAGATCTTTAGGAGTGTATGCATAATACATAGCAAGTAGTTTGGTTTAATAACATAATCACAAAGCATAAAAAGCCAATGTGTTTCATTTTTTTTGGTGGCATTTATTGCCTTTAATTAATAGTGACAGCTGTAGAGTGACAGGAAAGGAGGGAGAGAAAGAGGGGATGACATGCAGCAAACCCAGTTCTACCAGGTGAGCTACCATTGTGCCCCAAAGCCAGTGTTTTATTTCAGATATTTCATTCTGTTTTCAGCCCATTTCTTCATTTTCTGCAGCTCTCTCAGTCAGTGCTGCGATGTGGCCGGCTGCACACTCGGGAATTAATCCCCAGATCTTCCTTGTGTGCCTTGAAAAGCAGGTATATCTCTTTGGGCAACCATATTACTTTTTGGCGTATGAAGTGTCAGTATAGTTTTAGAAACATCAGCCATAGAAAAACAACATTTTTTACTGTCAAATCAAAAGGGGCCTGCATCAGTCAGACATCTGAGACTTAATAATCTGCTAATCTACAGAATTTGTTGTGAGCAGTTATTTTCTTTCTACGTATCTCCTCGCAGAAGTAAGCGTGATGAAGTGGTCTAGAACGGATTACTGAGATCTGTAATTATAATGATGTAATAATATATAATACTGAGAAAAATACTGGCCATGAGATCTGTAAGGAAATTGTATAAGGAGTTTAAGGTTTTTCTGTCTAAGGTTATCTAGCTTCCTGTATGCGTGATGAAGGTGAAGCCCTTTCTTAAAGCAACTGGTTGTGCTGCAAATATTCTTTATATGACTCATATAAATACCAAGGACAGCAATGTGACTATATAAATAATGTTTTGTGCTCTTTGTCACTAGTAGTAATCAATCAGTGCTGGGGTTAATTACTGATCTGTCGACTGGTTAGTACATACTGTATGGACTTTCATAAAACATCATTCAGTTTTTACGATCTTTATTGTCACGTTGTGGTGTTAAGACTTACCTTGAGCATTAGGAAAGGTGTAATGACATTGTATGCCATGTGGAAATAGTCTCCAGCACTGGGTTTGTTGAGAGGAAACCACTCCAGAGGAAGGATAATCTAATACATGTGAGAAACTGATGTTAATTGAGCCGTAAAATGTTGTGTAACTATCCATCGTATGTTATTTGCACTATTTAGAACTGCATGAGGCAGGCGAAGTGGTCGCTGAGCCTCCGTACCATTGCAATAGGCCTCCCAAAGTCCAGGATCCAGTTCTGCACAGTCAGACAGAACCACAGGTCCAAGTGGAAGTGCTGCATTTTCTTCTGTGAATTGTCCTTCAAACCACCAGCAGCGCTGTCAACACACAATGACAGTGAGTGTAAGTCATTGTAATAAAGCAACAAAAGCAAAGGGCAGCACAGAGGTCGAGTGTTTAATTGGCATGTTGGGAATACTGGAGTAAAGTAATGGTTTACTGTGGTGTTTACTACTGCAGTCAATCAGGGTTAAACACAAGCTGCTTTTAATGCTTTTTTACTTAAAATAGAAATTACACACATCTATTTCATGAGGCAGGAGTGGGTTAGTATCGAAAAGTAGAAAAGGTAAATTCCCACACACTGTCAATGTTCGGCCACATCCTTCACATCGAAAGGTAACAAGTTAAAAATGTGTATACGAAGATGGCATGTACAGATCTGATGACATTATAAAAGTATTTTCACTAAATGTGTTCATAGATTTTAGCAGACTATAGTAAACATGTAAAATGGGGAAGGGGAAAATGGCACAATACAGCTTATAAACAAATATCATCACACACTTTTAGGTTCATGGTGACATTATTGGATGTTTGCCTTTATAGAAATTGGGGAGCTGTTTCCTTCTGAAATCACAGTCAGGTGATGTTTGTCAGTCACTATGGTTCAGCGTATGTACCAAGACAACAAAAGGCTGAATACACCGCGGGTCCTTCAGGTCAGGTCAGGTAAAAGGAATACAGGCTGTTTGTCAACACCAGCAAAACAGATACGGACTACAAACAGAGCCATTACCCTCCGTGTCTGTCGTTCAAATATCCATGCAGCATTTAAGGAAACACGGGTCATGAAATTGCAAACCCTGTGTCCAAATCAGAGGCTTGTTATGTGGTCTTATTTCTTTGGACATGTTTCACATTATAAACGCCAGTGATTGTTGTTGTGCATTTGTGATGTCTCTTGCCTGTCTTAAATTGCTCCAAAGTACCGGTTGCTGGGATGAAATGTGAAATGTGAGGCCTCAAGGTTGAGGAAAATGACTTTGAATTTTGATTATATAGTGAATATTTTTGCATTAATATATGCTGTCTTTCTTTTCGGGGCTTGTGTGTGTTGTGTTGTTGCTGCGTTGTGTGTGTGTGTGTCCCGTTGTATTAAGCTGGAGTTTGTGATTCTCTCTACAGCTTATTTAGTATTGTCTTCAGGCAGCAATGCAGCCACCATCTACTCCCCAGGTGACCTCAAATTGAAGCATTATCATAAGGTATTGTTTTTATTTTAGCTGTTTTAAGTTTTATTATTTAGCAGAATTCCCTAATTGACACCGAGCTTTTTGAAAATGTGGCGTTGTTGTTACTGTAGGCCTTTTAACTCATTTATGGAGTCGCTTATATCCATCATAAAAAATCCTATAGCTACTACTTTGCGATGTGATAAACTATCAGTATCATTTTTGCATCACAAATTTAATTTCCACTGAAGAAAACTTGTGAAATCATGATGATCAATTGGTTGTCTGTACAAATTAACATGTTTTTGTACATCTGGAGATCTGTAGGCCTGTAGGATCTGCAGCAATACTTCATTATAACGCTATTTTATCACACAAATGTATCCAAAAATTGCAGCTTTAATAATATTTCGAATAATTGTGCATCCTTAATGTGCACTGTTTCACTCATTCATTCACAAACTATGGACCCACAACTCGCACGCCTACAGGCACCAGCAGAACTTTTCCAGAGTTCACTGGCAGTATAATAAAAATACTGTGAAATGCCTTTTAATATTAGCTACTAGAGTACGAAGCAACCGGTTAAGTGACCTAACTAAGGAAGAGGAGCTAAATGGCGAAAGTCCATAACCATAACCACCACCAGCATCGTATCTATAGCTGTCGCCTGACCAACCGAGTGTTGTTGCTGTTAAGTGCCCGTTTATTAACCACAAACAGCGACAAGTCTTGACAGTTAACATTATGCAGAAGTTAAAGTTGAGACCGTTGACACTTCGCGTTTGTTCGCTTTCCTTTGCGCGTCCAACCGTTGACACTTCGCGCTTGTTCGCTTTCCTTTGCGCGTCCAACCGTTGACACTTCGCGTTTGTTCGCTTTCCTTTGCGCGTCCAACCGTTGACTCGACGCAGGCGAACAAGCAGCAGGGCGAACTGACCGGTAACTAAGGGTTACCGACGAGTTAACTTCGACTACTTCTGAAGCTCCGGAACAAACTAACTTAACTAACAACTAACTTAACACCAAAGCAACGGCTACAAAGGCAGCAAAATAAATAACTTACAAACCTAGTTTGTGTTGTGTGTAAATCTTTGCCGCGTCGTTTTCGTGTAGTCATTTTCACGTCTTTGTTTCGTATCGTCGGTGTGGCTATTCAATGGACATATCTATGTATAACGTTAACGTCTACGGTAACAAACGTCAGTTAACGGCTTCACTTCCTTGTTGTGGCCTTCTTCCCGCCCAACCGCCGAATCCACCAATCACATTGCAGGAGAGGAGTCAGACGTAAAGGGCGCCATAAACCCTGAGCGCTGATTTGTAGGCATATTTACCAGCTTCCACTCAAATTTAAAAATAAAAGACATACATTTTTTCTTTTCTTACATTTTTAAGTTGTTTGTCATGGAGTGTGCTGGGATCATTCTTAAATTAAATTTAATTTAAAATATTTGTACAAAAAAACTGTTCTAGTAAAGTAAAGGTTGAACAACAAACTGTAAACTGTAAAATGTTGTGCTTCCTGTTGTTATGGTTACAGTAAATGTGTGTAAAATCCTTTATAAAAACAGAGAGGGATGTAAAGATATTATTGTGTACTGCAATAAAAACATCGGGGATTAATAAAGTATATCTTTTTCTTCTTAAAGTTTATCGCAGTAAATATATCAGGATTATCATGAATGTCCTCATATGAGTGACTTGGAAAAATCTAACTTACAGTCCTATATGAATTTAATTTGTACAAAAAAATTTGATGCATTAAAAACTGAAGTTAAAGAAAAATACAATTTGCAAATATTAATTCTAGTTTATTATTCTGAATTAATAATTTATTTTTTAAAAGTTGCTTTAGATTTTACTTTTCATTCTGTGTGTGCTTTACAGGCCTTGATTGTCTCCCCATCGATTTTTATTACCAATTAGTTTAACATCAGCTAAAATGTACCCCTAACCCATTGACAGTTTATATAACCTCAACCAGTTATCTCTACTATGTCCAACCATTACCTAACTTGAGCCTGAGCACCAACCCCACAGCAGGGGGGGATCAGTGCATGAAACACTGTTTGAAAGGGGGAGAAAATGCTGGTGACAATACTGGTGTTTTCCAATTCTCTGCCTGACTGGCTCCCTCCTCAGGTTGACCCTGGGTGGTACCATATGCTGGGAATTACATGAAGTCAACCAAGTGAATGTACCAATAACAATAATATGGTGTAAACTGCCTCGCCTCAACAGGTGCAGCGTGAAAACAGATTTCAACAGGCCACACAACACCTGTGTGAGTGAACAATGGGTGTTTAACATTTGCAGTTTCTGAATTAATTAATTAATATTTGATTATATTCATTCATTTTAATGAAACACTTCAAATATATTATTATTTCAGTGGCATATGGTGCATATAGTTGCCATGGAGTTTGAGGTCGCCGTGGTTTAATGCCCTACTGAACAGACATTTAGTATAGGCTAGAGATTTCCGCTACCAGTACGATTGAGGTGAATTGAATTTGGCCTGAAAACACACATAAAATAAGCACAAAACACTACAGTTAAAATAAAGTAATTTATACTGTAATTACAATAGTAGACACACAAATCTTATACAAAAGATCGGCCAAAGATGTCTAAACCCAACAAAGAAAATCTGCAACTTTTATCATGTTTCTGAGACAAAGAAGTTCTTGTGATCGGCTGTCTGTCCTAGTTAAGTTACTTTCGTCCAATTATTATTGAGCCATGCATGGATCATGCTCTGTCCACATGTTAATGTAGTTAAAAGTTGACATCTGTTTTTACTCAACAAAGAGGACCCCTTGTCCAAAGGTCCTGAGCATCTGGGCCTCACACAAGAGGAACAGAGACCACCAGTATTAACAAATTCTAATACAAAAGATAAAATATGCATTTGTGTTGTTTTTACCTTTTTGACTTGTCGTAATAGAACAGGTGTTACCAAAAATATTAATGATGGCTCCATTGTATTCTAGTGTCCCAGTAAGCCATGCGACCCTGAAACTGAAGCAGGTAAATGGAATTCAGCCATTATTAATTGTATTATTTACACCTGTGCTTTTCTTACTATTCTCTGTTTATGTCTCTGTCTGTGTGTTCTGACCCTTTACCACAACATTATTTATTACTTTATTACTAGTATGTTTGATGATGGTTGAAACATGTTTACACAGCATCTATTTCTATTGTTGCATATTCACTGTGGTCTGTGGTCTCTGAGGAGCTACCAGGAAACCAAAAGCTGGTCTTTGTTTTAAAGTCTCCAGCTCACATATGCATTAACTGATCTTAACATATACACAGTGTGCATAGTGAGTAAAATACCTGTTTTTATTTTCCAAGATAACTTCACATTCCTAACTGCCTCTGGGAGGATTGCGGTTAGCAGATGTTAGGTATCCTATGATTCCTAGGAACTCTGTTTTTATAGATTTTAAATATAAGACACACACACACAAGTGCACAAAATCTTGCTTCTTGATTCTTTCATTTCAACATAATTATACGTCTAGCGAGAGAAACAAATGTGGAGTTACCCTGTTCTTTAGATAAAAGCAAATCTGTTGCTGCAGAGATTAAAGTACCAAAAAGCCATTATTGAAAACAAAAAAGAATTAAATCCATAAAACTCCCATTAACATTACAAAAATGAATAAGAGTGCATTGACAGAAAAGCTTAATATTCCTGATAAGACTAGTCAGTAGTTCCAATAATATTTAGATGGTTAAATATTAATATTAACGTCACACACATCATGTATGTAGCTCCCAATGCAGTAATGAGCAAAAGTCTAACAGCACTTTGTCTTGTGTGTACATTTAATTAAACCTCGCTCTCTTTCAGCCTGATGAAAGCTCGGTGAAATGTGATCGGCAGTGTAATTATCCTGTGACCACAATACAGCTTGGTCACAGGTTGGTGAAACACATGTTTTGACATGCAGAGTGCATACAACCCGGCTACAAACCTCCCAACTCTTTCCAATGTGTCTGGAGCAGAATAATAGCTCTAAATTAAAGTACCTTCAATGGCAAAGCAAATACATGTATGTGGGTGTTTACCTTCAGGTACAGTGTGTTAATGTGGCTCATGTTCCTGTAAAGGAGGGTAAACAGATACAGGTCACATATAAGATCAACTTTGAGTGAGTTTTCACAGGATGAATTAAATTAATAGTTTTAGTTTGTGCACCATGAGCAGATATTACTGCACTGACAATATGATGTCCATATCTGTTATTTTTTTCTTTTATTTACTATTTTGAAACAACATTTTACAGTATTACCCCAGAGCACTGTCTTATATTCCTGCAAATTGTTTTATTTATCAATTTAATTTAATTTCTTTATGTTTTTATGCTTTTTGCATTCTGCGATTGGTTGTGTATTTCCCTCTAATCCAGTCATATGCTGGAGGGGGAATTGTTCCCTGCATTGTTTATTGCTGATTAAAAGAGCTCCAAAATGATTGCAGTGCCAGCAAAATTAGACTGATAAACAAGAGGAACAAAAAGACTAATTCTCTAAATGTAGTTGTAATTCTGCTCAGTGACCAGCAGATGTCCCTTTGTCATTTATTATGGATCAGATGATGCTGTACAACTTTTTCAGCATCCCTGTGCGCCCCCTTCTTACTCTTTTATATAATAATATATAATATATCTGAAAAAAGAGGCAAATCGACCACCATTAAATGAAATAAAGAAGAAGAAAATTGCGCAAGCATAAGGGGGGGGGGCTTGTCCTGATATAGTTCTTTCTGGGGTTCGGATCTTTAAGGACAATTTAGTCTCAAACATTAAAATACATAAAATATGAGGAATTGTTAGGGATTTTTAAATTAATTTCGGTAATAGTTAACAATTTACAAAAGATTGTTGCTACAGGTAATATAATCGTTGTCCATCAGTTATTTATTTATTTGTTTATTTATTGGCTATTATTTTTCTTCTCTTGACTGAAATTTTAACACACATGTTACTGTAAGAGCGTAACCGTATATCAGTGCGTTCATGGTCAATAACGGAGACAAGCTACTGTAGGCAGGTGCTGCAACAAATCACATCAATGTCTTTCCAAACAGCGCTATTCATTATGAGGAGGAGTTATTTAATACCCCACACACACAATCACACACATACACATTCACACACACACACACACACTCACTATCATCATTTCCAGCTGCTGCTTCAGAGAAGAACTGAGGAATCTCTCTGCTCACACTCTTCGGTTCAACATGGACCTGCGGAAATTTCTGCTTTTTCTTGCAGTCGCCGCCTTCAAAGTGAAAGGTAGGCTGACAGCATGCGCTTTAATTGCGGTTACTAGGATTAGGAGGCAGGGGGTCGCCTTATTCTTGAGGTTTTTTGCGTTTCTTGTGTGTATTTTACCTGCTGGATTGATTTGCAAGCCTCCTAATTGGAATGACATTCCATACTTTTTGGTAACATTATCATTCTTTAATGCTATTTTGAATCACCTGTGACTTCACTTGTATATAAACTAATAGAAGTTATAACATTTGAGGGAGTTGTTTTACTGTCCAAGCTCTTCTTTTTAACCTTTTCTTTTTAACCTTTTCAGCGTCACAAGCAGAATCCCCAGAAGTCTATATTAATGTAGTCAACCACCTCAGAAGGCTCAATGTGGCTTATGTGTATCAAAGTAAATGACAAGATTTGCATTTCCATTTGATGGAACCGGTGCAGTCACTAAAGCATCTTGGTTCTTGGGCTTGCGTGGCTTGTAATTAGTGGAAATATGTTATCTCTAACTTCAAAGCTGTTAAATATGAAATGTACTTGTACATGTATAGTATGTAGTGATGTAATAACTGAAAAACAAGGTCCTATATGCAGCCTACAAATGATTGCAATACACATTACTTCTCATGTTTTGACATAGGGGCTTTGTATGTTGTGTGTAGTGTGTGACTGATTCCTCTGTCAGCGCTGAACTTCTTGCAGCTTTTACTGATGAGGGTGGGGTGGGGGTATAAGTGTCAGGAGTTAGTGGGGGTCCCTGGCTTTACTGATGAGGCCAGCAGAAGTGAACATGAGGCGTGAGGTGATGAAGAAAGGGAAGGGTCACAAGTTGTTTGTCTGGGTTGCGAGGGATCAGCCACCATCTGCTGCGTACAGAAAGATACTACACATATTCTTTGTTTCTAGCAATCTTCAAGCCTCAAAGTCTGTTTTGTTTTGTTTCATATGTGACGTTTATCTACCTATTTATCTATCTAAATTACCTTCAAGTGGAGGCTTGGAGATGAAAATGAGGAAAGCAATGTGGCATTAATCAGTGTTTTTATTGTTTTCCTTCACTAAGACAAAAAAAAGTTACTGTAACATCACAGCACTTTTCCTAGGCAGGGTTGGTATATTCTGTGATGTGCGTGTGTGTGTGTTTGTGTGTGTGAGAGAGGGAGAGAGAGAGAGAGAGAGAGAGATTGCCACAAACAGACTGAGATGAGAGACTGGGTGAATGAAGTCCTTCATTTCCATCGCTATGTATGGACTACATACTCTGCTGCTTCCTGTTTTTGGTCTAGAAGAACAGACATAACAGGTCACCCCATAAAAACTGAAAAAAAACTTAATAAAAATGATCAGGATCTCTGATCTTCAAATGTTATTTAGTGTGTGAAATCTTCAAGACATTCTCTCATCTGTTTTACTCAAATTTGCTCTGAATTTTAAATATTTGGATTGAGTTAGTTAATTGGCTCAGGCTCTTCAGTCTGCACTTTACAGCAGGCACTACTTAATTGAGGCTCCCCTGAGAGTGCAGTATGGAGGGAAGTCGTGTTAGTCTGCCTACATACATGCAAATCTAAATGTCTGGGGTACTTAAAGCTCTTGTCCATCTCTCTGACATTATAAGGCTCTTCAATTTGATTAAGAGGTAGAAAGGTTTTCCTTCTCCCTTTTATAGATCCCAGCTCACATCCAGCAATATATCAGACATGTTCCTCATGTGGTCTGATGGCCATTAATGTACTGATATGTATTAGAGAAACATCTTAGGACAATAGCACACATTGATGTCATCTAGCTGATCCTCATTGTGAAATTTGATTATGGTGGGATTGGGAGAACACACATCCACAGGGGATTCAGCCGTGGACAAAGACAAGCTTTCAGCTAATCTTTCAGTCATTTTATTAAAGAACCGGATGCAGCACAGAGCAGAGGAATAGGGAGATGCCTACAGTCAACAAGCTCTCTGCCAAATAATTGGGATAATGTGCTTCTCATAGGTGGTTTAGGATAATTGGGCTATGGCCATTAGCGAAGTGAATAAATGCTGCCAAAAACGCTCCATAACTCCTGAGGGGAGACGAGAGTGTGTTAAAATGAGGGGCAGGTCTGATTTGAGATTGCACAGTGATATGAATCAAGTCCAGGTATTGTATTTGGATGATGGCCTTGGCTGTGCACGCGTTTCACCACCTGAGACTGAGATTTTTTAGAAATTCCACGTTGGCGTTGACTCAAGAGTTTCTATATTTTAACAAAAAAAAAGTTCAAACATTCAATGAAATGCAAGATTATTTTAAAGTCAGACGTGCTGAAAGACTTTACAGTCTACATGGTCCAAGTTGGAGGTGCATCAGTAGAGAGGATGACTTCGAGTGGGTGAATGGAGAAAATATAGCCTTGGCTCAGGCTCATCCTTGAACTTAAGTAAATTTCCTGCTACAAATGAAATGATTATTTGTCTGATCACGACAGCATTGTGGCTCTAGGAAGGGAGTGTTGGTCAGTTTATTACTTTGGTTCAGACTAGTATATCTCTATTGGATTGATTGTCCATTCGTGTTCCCCAGATGGTAAAGTTTACTGACATTGGTGATCCTCTGATCATTTTTCCTCTGGTGCCACCCTGAGACTGACATTCTGGTTCAGAGTGAAAACATTTGTTAAAAACGTGTTGGATAAATTGGATGAATACTGATGATTTTAAGCGCCTGTGTTTGTCATATAGTGCTGATCCTATCTGGTTTTATATTTCAACTTGCCTAATATTTTAGTTTATGACCAAAATACTTTGCTCAACTAATTACATTTCTATCAGCCTTAGTTATTCTTTATGTTTAGTGCAAATATGTAAATGTTGGCATGCTTACAGGCTAAACTAACCCTGGTAAATATTACCTGCTAAACATCAGCTTTTTAGCATTATCCTTCTGACCAGGTTTGCATGCTGATGTTAGCATTTAGCTCAAAGCACAGCTGTGTATACAGTAAGTAGAGCTGCTAGAAAAGCTGTAGACTCTTAGTTTGGATAATTTTGGCAACATCTTTAGGGATAACTGCTCATTACTGTGGTGTTTCTGCACAACATTTCACTTTTCCAAAGTAGACTTCAATTGATCGAACAAAAAGTTCAGTACTATGATACACTAGCTAAAACTTTGGTACTGTGGCATCCTCCTGTTTAGATTCTCTATTGGTGAAGTAATATCAAAGTTTTTGTCATTGTCTATTCAGTCATGTTGGTCACTGCTGGTGCATCATCTCTTTCTCTATTCATTCCAAACAAACAGCTATTTCTCTTGCTTGAAAAAGAAGCCTTGTAGTTATATAAGGCAGGCTTTGAGCTGAATGCCTCAGACAGTCGTTAAGTCCAGTTTATACTAGAAAGAAATGTTTGTGCTGCAGGATGGCTGTGTAAATGGGAGTTTGGCAATGACATTAAAAAGGAATAGGCAATAGATATGTTTTACTATTACTATTTACTATTCATATTGATTATGAATGATTATGAAAGTATATTTACTGTCCAAGTTTCTGTGTCCTCTGTAGTTTCTCTTCAAGGGCCAAACCAGCGCAGACTGTACAAAGACCTGATGACTGACTACAACCCATTGGAGAGACCAGTCGTCAATGACTCTCAGACTCTCACTGTTCACTTCGGCCTCACCCTCAATCAGATCATGGATGTGGTACATAAATAATGACTCTCCACACGCTATGCAAGGCAGTCTTATGTTAAAGGTCCAGTTTGTAACATTTAGGAGACTATTGCAAATTGCAAATATAACTATTAAAAATAGGTATTGATTCTTATTGTGTATAATCCCCTGAAAATAGGAATTGTTGTGTTTTCGTTACCTTATAATAAGCTGTTGTTTTACAGAGTGAGCAGGTCCTCTTCTACAGAGTCCGCCATGTTCAACCTCCATGTTTCTACAGTAGCCCAGAACAGACATCTGTTATCTGCAACTACACTGCGAGATGCCACTAAATCCTACAGCCTGGACCTTTAACTCACTCTTATTTAGGTGACACTCAGTTATCATGAATATATATAAAGATTGTCAATCTCTCAGAATATAATATTTATAGGTATAGATTCATTAGTGGATAATCACCTAAAAAAAAAGAATAATCCTTTTGGTATCTTTGAGTGAGCCGCTTATATCTATAGAGACAGTGGGTCCTTTTCTAGATGAAACAGAATCCTACACACTGGTCCTTTAGGTGAGTGATGATCACTAGAAATCATTTCCAAAAGGTAAGATCACAAGCCAACGCTCCTCCACCCAAATCAAACTCACAGCATTTTGTAAAGCAGCTCATTTAAAAAAAAAAAAGAAGAGAAATGAACACAGACTGTTTAGTTTTATCTGTGTACTCTCAATCCTTTTTCCATTACCATGGCCCTGAGAGGTGAAGTTGTGGACGTTTACATTTTTTGAGTAGCATGATTCCTCCTTTATAAAACTTAAACTGAAAAACAATACACAAAAATACCTGAATAATCTTACTGATAATTTTTTTTTTCTAACAGGATGAGAAGAATCAAGTTTTAACAACCAACATTTGGCTCCAACTGGTAAGACGTTTCCCTGTACATGTATGTGAAAACTAAGAAACTAAGATGTACAACCTTATGGTTACACTTAATACATTAAACTGGTTTTCATAATAAATCCAGCCATTTTTTTTTATACTTCGCCAGTTATTGTTCACAAGATGCTGGACTGGAGAGACAGATTACACCCTGGTGGTTTTTCAGGGTTATGTGCAAGGGTTATTTCTTGGCCGGGACTTCCTGGAGTCCTTACAGTAATAAGGTTCCAGGAATTGAGGCACATTATCCTCCCAAAAAAATTGTTTTTTCTAGTATATAAGATTTCTTGACAGAGATGTTTTTTCTGTTTCCTGCCCAGGGATTACAGATGTAAATGAGCTCATAGTTCTGTCCGCCCCTGTCAAATAAACAAACAAGATGGGGAACTTTAGAGATGGTGGTATGAAGATTTTTTACCTTGGGACAGAGCAAGTCTAGCTTTTTACCACATTTTGCAGTCTTTATGCTAAGCTAAGCTAACCAGCTTTTGGCTATAGCTTCATATTTACAAAGAGTTGTATCCATTATCTCTTCTAACCTTTTTGCAAGAAAGTTGTATAAGTATTTTACTCTAAATGTTGAACTGTACCTTTAACTTTAGCCGTTAACCATGTATTTAGTTTGCAAATCTAATCTCAACAAACATTACAAAGTACTAATATAGTATGTCTGAGTTTAAATATATAGTTTGATTGTCTTACAGTCTTCTTTATCACATCTACTAGTACCCAGACTTTTCCTTTTCATCTTCCACAGGAGCAATATGCGTCTTTCTCCTCTATGCAGTGAGATGAAGTGTATGAACACGGATGTTTTATCACAGCCTGTCCGTTGTCTGACACGAGTTCCCTGCTGCTGCACCGTCAGCAAGCTGTATCAAGGCTGCTTGGTCTGTTTTAAATCACCCAGTGGAATCACAGCAGCAGTCTCATTCAGTCTCTCTCACTGCACACCCTGCATAGTCGACACCGCCTCTCAAACACAAGATAGGAATCCACAGTATCTACCATCTGTTAGAGTTACTCTAGCATATGTTGGCTCAGTCTACTTGTGTGGACTCCAGGGAAGAAAGTTTAAATGTCCTAAAGATCTCTGAAAGTCAATTTTAGACATTGAAGATGGTTCTGCAAGATTACGCTTTCAATCATTTTTGCCTGAGAGGAGTAATTATAAGATTTTTAACTGCCTCAGGATAGTCTTGGAATGAACAAATTATAAATGCACAATTGTATGACATCTTGCAAGAGGACATGAATAATTGAGTAGCTTCAGTTTTGGTTTTAGGCATCATGTTCGTGCTTTTTTTTAAGGACAACTGAGGGGTTGACTGTAATGACAAACTACTGTGTAGTATTTTAGTTTAACGCATTACTCTTCTGGAGCTGTCAGTGAGTTTCATTAAAGGTGGCTTAATGGAATAGTGCACCGTTTTGGGAAATACGCTTTCTTGCCAAGAGTAGAAGATTGATATGCCTCTCATTTAACTTTTAAATGTAAAGCCAGAGCCAGAATCTGGTTAGCGTAGCTTAGCATAAAGTTTGGAGACGGGGGAATCAGCTAGCCTGGTTTTGTCTGAAGGTAACAAAAGCTGACTAAGCTAACTGTCACATTATATCTTGCTAGTTTAATTTGTTCAGTTCGATTAATTTGTACAGAAAACCAGGCAGACCAGAATGCTGCTGTCTCCCTTTTTCCAGTCTTTATGCAAAGCTGAACTTGCTGCTTCATGTTGTACAGATAAATACAAGAATCAGTCTTCTCGTCTAATTCTCGGCAAGAAAGCAAATGAGCACAATCTCCCCAATATCAAAAATATTAATACCTTAATACTGACCAAAAGAAGTAGAAGCAGATAAAAATATTGAAATTAGTGAATGAGATTAGTTGAGATTTATGTTCAGAAGAGCAGCAGGTTAGTGAGGATGACATGAATAATCTCTGTAGTCTGAATTAATCATGTGAGCTGTACAGGTGACAGCGTCCCTCAGTGTGCTTTACTCAGGCTTTATTAACGACTGACCTTTATAGTTCCTCATGCTGGCTACAGCCATTATTTGAATACCGTGATGGTTTGAATTAATTAAAAATGAATTATAGATCTTTTCTTTTTCTAAAAAGCCATAAAAAAGCCATTTCACCAAGGTGTAAAAAAAAAAAAAGATATGATATTATATGTTAGCCTGATCATCAGTCAGCCAAAGTTATTTCATGCACACAAGGGGCCTAGACGGGTTTGTTGTTTTCAACTCTGACCTGGGTTCTGTGAAAGCAATCAAGCATTCACCTCTCAGGCTTGAGCTTTTTAGCTATGCTAGCAGTGTGGCTCTGTGGATGGTGATGTTTTGACCTTGGTTTGAACTGACTGACTTCTCTAGCTCCACCAGCAGGTCAACATTTTCATATATTTTGTGAAATTGTTTGATATTTGCTGGACACTAAGGAGATGTATCCCAATAACTTTGTTGATCTTTTGGCTTTTCCTCCTTTGCCACCAGCAGGTTGACGTTTTTGGTGAAATGTCTCAAAAACTACAGGATTGTCATGACATTTCTTTAAAAACATTCATGTCCCCCTCGGGGTGAATTGTAATAGCTCTGGTGATCCCTTGACACAATGAGGTCAGAATTTTAAATTGTCCAATACTTTATTTTATGACCAAATATCTGCAAAACTAATGGCGTTCCTATCACTCTCAGCTGTGCTTTGCCTTTAGTGCTAATTAACAAATGTTTGCATGCTAACACACTAAATTAAGATGGTGAACATATGCTGCTAAATGTCATCATAGAGCTGCTAGTGTGGCTCTGAATCTTCAATGCACTGATATCTGCCACAGGGAAGACGTGACTAACTAACCTAGAATGACAATAATGTGTTTGAATAATCAACAGTTTCCCACAACATGTAGCTGATTGATAAGTTTTGTTTGGCACTCATTATAAAACAAGCTATCCAGTGCTCTATAACTCATACTGTTGCAAAAAAATTTGCAAAAATTACGTGTTCCTTAGAAATCTAAAAATCTTATTCCTCCCCAGATGCCACTGAAACCCGGCACAGAGATTGAGTTCAATTCTGGTTGAATGTCAGTGCATAATGTTACCAACAGCTGCTGTCCCCTACATTCATTTTACCCATTACTGTCACTGCCACTAAAAAAATACACCAGTGTTAAAATCTCAGTTTGAGCTTTCAAATGAGGTTTATCAAAGTAGAGATGCATACGTTAAAGATGTGTGAAATGTGAAATATACATCATGTTTTTTTGTGTCCCACAGTACTGGGATGATAATTACCTCAGCTGGAATCAATCAGAATATCCAGGTGTGACCAAAGTGAGATTTCCTGAGCATCTGATTTGGAAGCCAGATATTCTGCTGTATAACAGGTAGGTGTTGTACGGACAGATCTGCTGGATGCTGCACTGTAATTGGATATGCACGGTGTCAGACTCAGCATGCATGCATTGTCCTCTGCACAATATAATGGGGGGATCTCTGAGGGTTGAGGGATTTGGGGAATTTTGTGTTCTAGAATTAAAAACAAGATTGTTACAGTGACACTGACTATGATATATTAGGCACCACAGATCTGATTTTCTGAAACATTATCTTTGGTATAAACAACATTTTTGAGTGGCTCAAACGAGTCATGTGCAGCGACCTGTAAAAAACCTGTTTGACTCCATAATTGCATGCCTGTTGAATTAATTTGGATTTTAAAGATGTGGACAAATTCAATTAGAATAGAAATTTGAATAACTCAATAAAACTTTCTCCTTGAACACCCTCTGTTTATAAAGCACGGCTATGCTTAAAATACGGTATTTGGCTTCTAAGTTCTTGTCTTTCTTGGTCCTCTAATTCTACCACCGACACTCTTAAATATGTTCTTCTTTTTGCTCTTTTTTGGGGAATGAGACTTGCGGAACAGGTAGACAGATAGCAGTTTAAGGCCATTGATTTTGCTGGGGAACAAATCTCACAAACGTGCACCTACTCATGAGCAGTATTCATAAAGTTGAAACGAGCAATTTATGATAAGTCTGTGCTGTTAAGAAGGTTTGCTCAATCTGACTCAGAGAACACACACAAAGTAAGAAAGTTCTCGCATGAGGCCCATTGCATACATTTAAAGGTCAAGTTATTATTTTGAGAAAAATGTGTTTTAATGTTGACGGTCAAACCATCACACAAATTTCAAAGAACAACTAAAATCTAGTTATTCTTTAAATTCATATTAACCTAATTTAAATTAAAAGGCCCAGGATGTAACATTTAGGAGGATCTATTGTAAGAAATTTAATATAATAATGAGTCGTTTTTATCTACAGACTCACACTCTCCAGACATTGCGTTCATGTTTTACCACCATGTTTCTACAGTAGCCCAGAACAGACAAACTGGCTCTAGATAGGGTCTTTCACATTTTTTGTGAATTTTGCAGCCACCCGAAGTTTCTCCTACACACTTCACAACCTGTTCTCAAGCCCAGATCGTCAAACACTGACGCAAGTGGTGTTCAGTTAGTTGCAATCTGCAGCTTCACCACTAGATGCCACTGTATCTTACACACTGGTCCTTTAAAGCCTTTTCTCCTTTAATTCTTATTTTCCACCTACAAAACTGAATTTATGCACAAAGTACTAGTTTAAAAGGGGGAAGGGAGGGTTTATAAAAGCATTAAATAATTCTAAAAGGCATAAAAATGGAAACTATTTCATAAAACAAATAAAATATAATACAATACAATATACTGTTTCTGTCTGCACAGCATCAGACCTCATGTGGTCGAAGGGTTTATTCAGGATCTCTTGCAGAGACTCACAAGCAGAAGATGAAACATAGATGAACCCCACTCTTCCACAAGATAAACTTAATCCTTAATTCTTTTGAAACAAAAAGTTGGATATCTCTCATTTTCTAAAACTAAGCATGTACTTCTGGTAGAAGCTTAGAAGATCAACATGCATTAAGCGTGTTGCACTGATACAGCTCGTTCTGGTAGGTAAGCTAATCTTCAGGCAGGAGCATTACACTTCAAGGTTAGTGGTGCTCCACAGTTTAAATATATGCAGGACAGAGAGGAGTGCTTTGGAGCAATAAATCATTTAGACAAATGAATAAACTTGGAAGAAAAAAGATGGAAGAAGGAGCATTTTATTATATGTCCCAAATGGAAAGCGCTTTAGAGATCACCATTAATCAATCTTTAAAAGAAACATATGAACAAATCACATTAGAGGCACTCTACTCTCCAACAACTAATGAGGGGAAAAGCATTGTACTTCATTCGTCATTGACCCTCCCAGTAAAGCCTTGATTTGAGACTCTTTGAATTAGTTGCTGCTGTGAGTTAAGTTTTTTATTTTTCGAGCAACTCTTTCAACTTTAGCTCAACCACGCTTCAGTCTCTGGGGAATTCATTTTGAGGCAGTGAATTGTGGGTAACGGGAGAATGAGGCAAACCACTGAATAACCATCTCCAGGGAAGTGTTGCATCAGTTTTGAGTACTCGTGTGCTGTGTACCTGCTGCAATAATGAGTTACAGAAATATTTGTATATTTCCACCACTTCTGTTCCACTCGCTGTTTGCCTGTTTGGCTCATCCAAATTAATGTTGCATCCTTATAATTAATAGCGGTTCTTGCAAAGGTTGTATAAATTTATTACAGTCTTTTCCACAGAAGCTGTGCTTTGGTTACAGATAATTGAGCAGTAAATACTGATATCGCTCCATGTTGTTCACAGTGCTGATGAAAGATTTGATGCTACTTTCCGCACCAACATTGTGGTCAATTCTTCAGGGTCCTGCTCCTACATACCTCCAGGTAAGAGTCATATGGTCTCAGTTAGCCCTCACACTTTAGCATCAGATATAACCTGATGTTTACTCATTTGAATGTTTGATATTGGATAATTGCTTCCTTTCTTTTTTCTTACACGTACAAATATTTAAAAAATAGTAGCAGATGCTTCTTGTTTTGGGAAACCCTTGATATACACAGCCACACTTAGATTAGTATAAGTACTTTCTTCTAAATTAAATCAATTATCAATTATTATTTTTTCAAACCACAATATTAAACTTTATATTCTACCTCTAGAGTCTAAAAGAAAATACACATAATATATGAATATTATCTCTCCTGGAGTGATGAGGTCTGGTATAGTTAGAGCTTTGAAAAAAAGGGTAAGAAATACAGAACTTTATCAATAAGACTTAATAAAATCTAAGACAGCTGTTTGCACCAAGAATCTAGAGGATGAAGGTACTGGCATGGTGCTATGTTAAAGAAATTGTTTGTTATTCCAGTAAATCACATGTCCTTTGTTGATTTTTATTATATTATTATTATTATTTTTTATTCCATTATCCCCCTGTTTTTTGTCATTAATCAGTCAGAGTATGGTTAGTTATCTGTGTAAATACAAGGACTACAAACATTACAAACCAGTAATGACAGAATTCTTTCATAGACAAACAGTTACACTAACAGCAGCCTGCTACAAGACAAACTGAAAACAAACTGATACGCACAGAAAGCTGCTGGATATATATATTGAACACAATTCACCATATTGACTACATTTGTGTTGTTGTGTTTTTCTTTACAGTTTTTTCTCTTGTACAGTGTTTCATACTCTTACTGTTTTTATACTGTATTTATGCTGTTTTTTTCTCTATCTATGTATATGCTGTGTCAGTATTGCCATGGCAAGATGTAAGCAACACCCAGAACCTGTCTGTCCAATTAGAGACAAAGGACAAAGGCAATTTAAACATCCTTACTACCACAGCTTCTTCTTATTCTGATAAAGACACCTGTCATGTCAAAACATTAGCAGATGCACCTTATTAAGGGTCTTAACTATAACTGTGTCCAGATCCTGCCTCATTGTCTATTGAGGTACCAGTTTTTAGCTTCGACTTGGCACTGTGTGCACAGATTCCTTCATCCATTCAGTACAGCCGTGGTGGCTAAATAATGGCCCATATCTGTCACTCCAACAGAAATATGTGGCCCCCCAGCACAAACCCCCTAATGAAGTTTTCCCTTTTCAGTTTTGCATAATGTTACATAAATCAAAACAACACCAGATTGCAGGGGACAATAACTATGATGAGGTGTGATTATTTTATCACAGCTTAATGATATGCTAATATCATCAGTCAATAGTCTGATTGATAGTCATCTTTTCATAAAAAATATAAATTGAATGAATTTGCACAAAAAAGGTCAGAGGCACATTTATCAAACAGACACAATCCTCCTGTGCAGACTGACTTTTAGCAAGCTCCTGCTGTTATGGTGTATAAATATGATTAACTGTATAAGCATTATGCTGTGCTTTTATGCCTCTGCTCCAGTGCCAGCCGTGGTTGGAGGCATTATGTTTTCAGATTACACTTGGAATCAACGATAAACTGATTTAGTATTTGGTGGTCAAAGGTCAAGGTCACTGTGACCTCACAAAACAGCTTTTTAGGCCATAACTCAAGAATTTATGATTTTATTTCACAAATGGTCAGACAATGAATTGGTGACACTTTTGATTCATAACTGAAGAAATTATGCTAGATTTATCATCGTATTGTGATAACTCTTGCAAAGAAAGCAAATAAGTGTATTCCCCCAAAATGCTGAACTCTCTTTAAACTGGTCTTATCCCAGTAACCAGCAGCGTAACATATTTGTGATTGGTGCAAATATTTTGCGTGCGCCCCCCACCCCAAAAACGCTCATATAGAGACACAACGACTCCACGCAATTGCAAACCTGCAGCCTTTGATCAGCACCACGGACAGCAGATGAAGTACCAAATCTATCAACACAAATCTAACAGGACCTGGACTCAAACCACCACAGCCAGCTGTCTCTGACTGTCAAACAACAGAAATAGTTTTAACCAGCCTACAGTAACAAATCAACAAAAAGTAGCTTCAAATAGCGATTGAATAGTAATCAAGAAAAGCACAGCAACTCATTATAGGCCTACACAGTATGAATGAATGGATGGATGATGGCATCTGATCACACAATTACTTAATAAACAATTCATTAATCACCATTCATCATCAATGGCAAAGTGGCCAAACGTTATCACAGACACAGATTAAAGTAAGTGTGCATTTTCTAACATTTGAGAGGTAATTTGAATCCTTGAACCCACTCCACAACAAGGAGACACCTGTAATCACCCATTAGAAGTTCATCCTATGGGCCTCTCGCTCAGCAAAATCATTAACAACACACTCTAGGCAATTGTCGCTCTCCCTCGTGGGCCCTTATAATCAGCGGGGCCCCAGGGCATTGCACCAGCTGCACCGGCGGTACGTACGCCACTGCCAGTAACTTAATGTCAACGGATCGATCACTATCACACTGTTACACACGCTTTGAGCAATGACTCACTTTTCCTGATCAAGCCCCTACTGGCCCTGACACACTGTGCAGTTTTTAAAAGATCTATCACACTTTCTGTGAAACCAACATACATACACACACACACACATGCATGGGAACACACTGAAAAGAGAAGGCCTTCCTGTCACAGCTGGTGATTACTGTTCTCCCTGGCAGGCTCTTCTTCAGCCCTGTTTCCCATACCACACAAAAAGCGTCGGCCTCACTCACCTCAGCATCTCAATCAATACCGGCGTAAATAGCACCATCATTGAATTTTTTCTGGATTGATTGCCTCTGTCACAAACAAATTGCCTCTCAACTTTGTTCCAAATGAACCCTCACTGAATGGAATATCGGTGCAAAATAGTAATTCGCCGCTTGAGCTCAACACAACTGCTTTATATGAGTAAAACTGTATGCAGATTTTACCTAGATGCTCGATCCAAATCATTTGAGTGTCCTGGTTACTTGTCTTTG